CTCATATACGCTCATGAACACACATGTACACAGACACACTCAGTTTGTGTTACGACAATGCACCTCTTAAGTCAGACTATTAAAAACAATGAACTTTTTGAAATCTGAGTTGCCATATAAACTCTCAACACTTAAGAATTTTGGGGGTATAATGATGGAAATATATTAGCTTTCTAAAATCTAAATAGATTGGACACAATGAATTACTAATTTATTTCTATATTTCCTACTACCTTACCATCTGATGCTGTTGTCACTGTCTTACTGGGTTCCATGAGATGTCAGCGTTCAGATTCTGTTGTGTGGGGATGGTTGTCTAGGAACCTACGCTTCTGAGTTTTACATTTCTTACTGGTGAGATAGGAATAAGGAGGACTGAATTTACTGCTGTGTGAACTAAATAATGAGATATTACCTACTGTAAAAAATGGTGGCCTGCAGGGCCGTGATTGTGCACACCTTTAACTCTGGAACTCTGGAGTCAGAGGCAGGCAGATCTGAGTTCAGGGTCAGTCTGACTGACAGAATGAGATCCAGCACAGCCAGGGCTATACGGGGAGACTCTGTCTTGAAAAGCAAAACAGCCCGTGCCTTTCTCTCTCTTCTCTCTGCTACATATAGTAAATACAGGAATTTGCCTATGCCTAAAGGTGTCTGAGTTTTTTTGACTGTGCAATGTATAGATTTTGAAAAGGCAATAAATACATGTGATTGTTAAAGAATATAAAAACAATAAACTTATGAATAATTGCTATATTTATATGGTGCTTTCTTACAGAATTAGAGAAATTGGGACCAAAATCATGTCTTTTGCAAGACACTTTTTAGTTAATATTTTAAGGATTGTTTACAACAAATAATTCTACTTTCATGATATGAGCTGAATTTGTGTCTAGTTTTCTGGGTTGTGTCATATTCTAAGCACTTTCCTATTTCTGGGCAATTTAAGATGTTTGCAACTGTTATCTATCCTATGATGGTGTGCAGCTCATTTTGTATGTCCCTCTGTGGTTGTCTTTCCTTAGTGTAAATTCCTACACCTGCTCATTCTGGTCTGAGCCTGTACAGACTTAAGACTTCTTAGTGTGTGTGTACGTGTGCATGCGTGTGTGGTGTTGCATAAATATGACACCACAGCCTGCAGGTAAAGGTTAGAAGACAACGTGTAGGAGTAGTTTCCCTCTTTCTACCATGTGGGTTCTGGGTATCAAGCTAAAGTCATCAGACTTGGCTGCAATCATCTTCACTCATTGAGCTGTGTGTCTGGCCCCAGACTTAAGATTTCTGATACACAGCTCAAATCAGTTCGGGGATGCTGGCCTTCTTTAGTTACTACAGTTTACCGAGCCTACCAGATTTTCATGTCCTCGACATACAGATTGTTATTAAGAATCTTTGTCTAGTTGCTGGGGGGGGATGGCTTAACAGTTGAGAGTACTTGATACTATTCCCAGCACTCACACCAGTCAGCTCATAACTACCTGAAATTCTAACCGTAGGGGATCTGACACACTTTTCTGGCCTGGGTGGGCACCCACACATATGTGTGCATGATAAATATGAACAGTTCCATACGAATAAGTAAAAAAAAAAATCTTACTCAAGTTTGTACACTCAATGTATTTTTTGTTAGTACAGTATAAATGAAGTGTGGTGGTATTAAAATTTTGGGAAGACTTGAGTATGTTAGGATTTTGACATATGAAAAGTCTAGAATCATTAGAATTTTTTCGTTAGAATATTAAGTGTGCATGTACATCCATCATGTGTGTGCAGTGCCTGAGGAGGCCAGAAGAGGGCACTGGACCCCTGGGATTGGAGTTACAGATGGTTGCCAGCTACCATGTGGGTGCTGGGAATTGAATCTGGGTCCTCCAGAAGAGCAGCCAGTGCTCTTAACCACTGAGCCAATTCTCCAGCCCCACTTCTGTAATCTTTTAAAATGAGCTCTTCTGAGTAGTTGGGGTTTCTGAATAGCTCTATTTCAGTGTCTTCACTTTATTAAATAGGACTCTAGGCATAATTCAGCCTTGCTATGTATTAAATTATCAGAGTATGGACAAGTGATAACTTCACGATTGATTCATGTCATGGATTAGGTGGACATTCTTTGGCAGCCTTTACACATGAATGATCATGTGATTGCTTGCCCTCTTTTAGATTAACAGATGTGGTGAGGTGATTTAATGTATCTAAGATCTCACAACTCCTAGGCAGTGAAAGTGGGTTTGAGTTTAGCTTTGTGTGACTCAAGTCTCATCCCTCCTGTCACTTGCTACTGTGCTCTCTGGACTTGCCATGCGCTGTGGTGACTAGACTATCATTTTACATTGCTCTCCTTGTATCTGCAGATCACAGCTTTTCTTTCTAGATCACCATCTTTCATCTGGATGGCTGGAGAATGTGGTGGCTATCCTATCCGAGAGCGCCTGAGGACTTTGCTTGGATTTGATGTGGTGACTCTGACTGTTGGGCATTTCTGGGTCTCTCTCTTTGACTATGGGTAGGAGATCTCTCCAGAATTAGCTATCTCAGTGTTTTCCATACTTGGGTCCACCCTCACTTTGAGTTCATTTCTGATATGTTCATGGGAGGAAATTCTGGAGTTGGTTGCACAGGTTATCTGAGCTAATCCTTGGGTGGGCCACTCAGGAAGAAGTGCATCATCATAGTTTTTTTTTAAACTATGCTTTTAAATATGGTCTTTACCTATGCGACTGAGCTTCTAGAGGGAAGAACTCCTTGCTTCTTGTTAATCTTCAGCTCTGTGTTTCCAGCAGGAATAGGGTCAAGAGGCTTGTGTGCAGTTTATGCAGCCGTGTGGTTCTCATACAGGCGATTGCTGTAGATGGGGAAGAACCCCATGCTTCTTCCTGGGTTTGAGGATATCACAACCTGATCAGTCTCTTATAAAAACAACCTATGAGAAACTAAGTCAGTCTTTCTCCCCCACCCCATGTCTGTCTGTCTGTCTGTCTTAAGGAATGTAGGCACACATCACCCTGCTCTGCTCTGATAACTTTGAGTAGAAAAGTGACTCTGAATTTATCACCTAACTTATTAGGCCTACTATCTGGCTGTAGAAATCTTGGGCATTATGCAACATTATAGAATCAAGAGTTCTAGATGAATTGCAAAGACAGCGGTAGTGACCGTGGAGTGTGGTGAATATTATTGCATCAAGTGCCTGATCCCTTTAGTCGACCTGGGATGTAAGATTCGTGACTCTCAAATTCATGATTCCAGGAATGTATTTTTCTCCAGAGTGGCAGGTAGGACAAGGATTCCTGCTGCTATGTGTTGAATATTTATCTGGGGGTTGGGGGGTGGGGGGTGGGGCAGGTAGCTGCTGTCACAACCCCCAGGGCTGAGAGCATGGGCCCAGGAGCTATTTTTGGAGTTTTGCCCCCACCCCTCATCATCTTTCCATTTTCTTCTAGTGCTGGCCCCTGGGGAGCTCCCTTCCCATTCCGACTGAATCTAGTTATTTTTCCTAGATGTTACCCCAAGACTATTGGCGGTGTTAACTATGGACAGCTGGGAACTGTCCGTTCCAAGCATTTGCCATCTTGCCTCACTCTTCGTTCGGTGAAGGGTTTAGAAATTCTTTAATGTGTGCTTAAACAGGTAGCTCCCGGGCTGGGGAAATGGCTCAGCCGGCAACAGTGCTTGCTGTGCAGGCCTGACGACCTGAGGTCAGGTCCCAGCACTGAGTAAAAGGCTGAATGTGGTTGCATGTGGGACAGTGACCCCAGCACTATGGCAGCAGAGACAAGAGGCTACAAGAGCATCCATGGGGCTTGCTGGCTATGAGCCCAGCTCCAGGCGCAGTGAGAGACCTTGTCTTAAAGGAAGAAGGCAGAGCTTGGTAAAGTAGGGAATAGGATATCCTCTGGCCTCTGCAGCCATGTATACAGGTGCATCCATTCACACACACACACACACACAGTATACACACTCTCACACACATACACAGTAAAAACAACTAGTGCCTATAACCACAAGTTGGGTATCTTCACAAATAAGTTTGAGAATCATCCCTCTGCTTTTTAACTATATAACGGAATGAGGATTTTTAAAATTACATTTTAAATTGATTTTACATACCAACCAGTTCCCCCTGTCTCCTCTCCTCCTGTTCCCTCCCCCACCTCCTTTCTGCCTCCCTATCCACTCCTCAGAAAGGGTAAGGCCTCCCATGGGAGTCAACAAAAAGCATTGGCTTATCAAGGCTGAGCGAGGCATCCCACCATAGGGAATAGGTCCCAAAAAAGCCAGCTCATGTACCAGGGAGAGATCCTTGTCCCATGCTAGGGGCCCCCACAAACAGACCAAGCCACACAGCTGTCATCCACATGCAAGGGCCTAAGTCAGTCCCATGCAGGCCCTCCAGCTGGTGGCCTATCATCTCTCGCGAGCTCGCGTCAACTGTCTTTGGGTTTCCCTGTCATGATCTTGAGTCCTCTTGCCATAGGATCCTGCTCCCTCTCTTCAACTAGAAATGAGGCATTTTAGGATGGAATTGAAACACATGACATGCAGATATAAGTGCTATTTCAAGTTTATATCTTAGACTGTGTATGTTTACTCTTCCTGAGTCATCCATAGTTCCTCTTTGGAAACTCAATGGAAATTTAGTTTTTAAAAAAAATGTTTCTTCCTCCTGAGATTATAGTGTAATTACATCATTCCCCCTTCTTTTTCCTCCTTTTAAAGCCTTCCCCACATGCTTTCTCTTCAAATTCATGGCCTCTGTAACCTTTGTTTATCATCCAATAAAATGATTACACTACAGGAAACACTTGTTTAGTTGTTTCTGAGTGTTTATGTACACTAACATGGTTGTAACACAGAATAGTACATAATTTCCTATGAGGAATGACTTTTGGTGATACATGCAAATCATTCAGATAAAACATTAAATGCTTATTAGTTAATAGCATTGTAAATTTACTTTGTTTTTTGTCCTTATTTACTTAGTACCCTAATCTGTCTTTCAGGCTGTGACTGAGAAGAATTTTGAAACAAAGGATTTTCGAGCCTCTCTGGAAAATGGTGTTCTGTTGTGTGAGTAAGTATTTCAGGCATGGTCTCCACAGTCACAGGTTGGTGTCCCTGGTCCAAATTGAGATTTGATCCCTGCAAGCTGACACCTAAGTAGAAGGGGTTATCGGTTTTGGTATCTAAAGATAGCGTTGGTAAAATATATATTATTTTTAATTAGTAAATAAACAAGAGTCTGTCATTGCTTTATGGGCAGATAATTGGGGAGGAAGCCAATTATTTCTGACTATAACTCACACTGTATAATTGACTCATTTCCAAGTTAATGTAAGAGATCCTTTCCATCAGTAGGACATGATCATCAGTGTGGCAAGGTTTTCTTTAGGTTTAAGCAGAGTCATTACATTACTTGAATCGATTTGAGTCATTGACTGCTTAGTCAGTTAATAGATACAATTGTGAGCTGCATTCTGGGCTGTGGTCACCAGCAGCTACCAGGCTGGTGTCCTTGATTGATGGTGTAGGGTCCACATTGTTTGCTTTGTGCAGTGTTTGATTCTCTGGTGGCTTCATAGTACAGTTAACCAGGTATGTGGCCTTTGGGGATAAGAGAAAGGGTACAATTCTGGAGGAAAGTATGGGTTGCAGAAGTAGGCAAATAAATTATAAGAATGTACTTGAGTACCCACCCACATTTTTTGAAAGCACTTGATAATTCCAACCTAGACTCTCAGCACGTAGATATGTGTGGAATCTGTCCACATGTAAACTCTGGGAGTGGATTGCTAGCATCTACACGTTTTCTTTGTGATGACAGTAGCCCAGTGTGTACCATCATGCTGGCCTACAAGGCGCCCTTACGCTTTTGATTCTCCCTTTGAAGGATGCTATTTGCATTAAAGATTCCAACTTGAAAGGGCTAGATTCCTTTCCCCATTACCTTTGGGTGTTCACACAAGTGACTTAATCTTCTGTTTACACTCACAAGTGACTTAATGCTTGAGCCCCATTTTCCTCACCTGCAAAGTAGAGATCAGGGCTTTTAATCTGCCGGATTCACAGAGCTGCTGCACTCAAGACCAGTTTAGGTTTGCATAAACTGTGGAATGTGGGATATTTCCACTTCTGGTTGTCATAAAGATGGCATGGTAATCAGCCTTGTTGGCAGCTCCGCAAACTCATTTGTCTGAGAATGCCATTAATTCATTAATTCACTTCATATGAAGTTATTGGCATTGAACCAGTTTTGACTTGCAGAAATGTCAGCTTTATGTAGCTTTGCCTCACGTATACCAGGAGAAGCGTCCTCAGGGCCATGGATGAAGTCGTTCTACTCCTCCTCCCTCAGCTGTGTGCTCACAATCTTTGTTGAGTAATATTTAAACTCCCTTAATTGGGCTGCATGGTCTTCTCAGTGGGTGGCAGAGGGGAAATTATTTTGATTTGAAAGCTGTATCATTTAAGTGTTTTCTCATGTGTTCAGAAGATGGAGAGGAAAGTGCCTTTACTGAGAAGCATGTAACCTCAAAACTGCCTCAGTGATGAATATGATTATGCAAACCTAAGCTTCACAATCGTGAGGAATTAGATGGCATTATACAGAAATGTGCCTATGAAGTGGAGAGTTTTGTCTAATTGACAAGAGTATGTAGCCTATGTAGATGATCTATTTAAAGAGGTCCTTGGTGGTTTACATATTTCTAATAATTAGCTATTGCTCAGAATATGTGACTAAATATGTCTCATAGTGGCACCTCAATTTTTTAAAATTGTTTGAGAGCTTTATAATTCATTTGTTTTGATAAAGTCTGCCCCTCATTCCCTCACTCCAATTCCTCTTCTCCAACCCCCACTATTCATTCGCAATTTCATGGTGGTTTGGTTGTTGTTGTTGAATCCAGTTTGTTCATTTAGTGCTTCCAGAATGTCATGTGTATAGGATTAGTGGTCCATGGGTAACCTCTCAGACGCTGCATCCCTGAAGAAAACTGACTCTCCCTTTCCTAGTAGCACCAATTGCAACAGTTCCTCAGTAGGGGTGGGCTTCATGGCCACCTCCTCACTCCATGCTGGGATTTTGTCTGGCTTCATCTTGCACAGATCTTGTGCATGTTGTCGCAATGCTGAGTTCATCTGAGCACCTACTCTGTTGCATTTCCACTTCTGGTTCTTCCAATCCTTTCGCCCCCCCCCCTTCTTTGTTCCTCCCAGAGTCCCGGGAGAAGGCGGTATGATTCTGGATGTTCATCTAGGGCCAAGACTCTGGTCTTATTCTCTGAACTTTGACTGGTTGCAGCTCATTGAGGCACCTCTTCTGGATTTAACTGCAGCTTATGCCCAACTCTAGCTCTCAGTGATTTGAAATGATTCCTAAAAACCATCCCTGGGGAGGAGGCCACAGAAATCACTGGGGCCTTGGGCCGTAGATCAGTGTTCACCATGGTTTATGAATGAGCTTTGGGAGCCCACTCCAAATAGAGGGATGCTCATTCAGCCTGGACACATGGGGAAGGGCCTAGGACCTGCCCAGGATGAAATGACAGACTTTAGAGATTTCCCCCCTCCAAGGAGGGTCTCACCCTCCCTGGGGAATGATGTGGGGGATTGGGTGGGGGACTGGGGGACTGGTGGAGGGACAAGGGAGGAGGGGTGGGAGAGGGAGCTGGGACTGACATGTGAAACATTCACGTTTCTAATTTAAATAAAAACATATATTGAGGAAAAAAATCCCTAGGCTAGGATGAGCATATTACAAGAATATCCAGAGTTGATGGAAAACACCATTTTGACCCAAACTAGAACAAATTAGAATAGAAATAATTTCTGAATTGTTCCAAACTTAATAAAAATAAATTTAATTTCTATTCTAGTAATTATAACATGCATATGTGTTGTTAATAAAACATATCTATATCAATCTCTCTCTAGCTGTTTTTAGCATCCTCATTAATTTTTACCATTCGTGAGTTTCTTTTTACCTAATAATTTCAGCAGCTTTTATTCTTCAATACCACTTTCCCTTTTCTTAAACTGGCATTCTGAACTATCCGAGTCAGGAGTTGGAGAACCTTCTTACAGCTGTCACTCAACTGATAGGATGGCATGTCAGACTCCAGATCGGAATCAATGTCTGCACTGAAGTTTCAGACAGGGTGCACATCTGAGGAACAAGGACGTCCATGCACATTTGTCAGGTTGATGGGTGATTGGAATGAGCGTGCTTGTGGCGATTTCTGTTCTAGCAAGTTTGACTTTGGTATCTAGTGAACTGAAAGCTAAAGATTACTACTTGTGTGTGTATTTGTGTGTTTATGGGTGTGTGTGTGTGTGTTGTGCACATTTGTTGTGTGTGCATGTAGAAGCCATCAACATTGGGTGCTCTCTAGAGTCATTCTCCAGCTTATTTTTTTTAAATGATATGTGTCACTAATCTGGAATTGATCCACTTGGTGAGGCTGGTTTGCACAATGCGATTCATAGTTCCTTTTACCTCTGCATCCCAAATGCTGGGATTATGAGGCTCCGTGCCTGGCTTTTACATGGGTGCTAAGGATCTGATCTGAGGTCCTCATGCTTGCACGTAGGCACGTATCAACTAACTCACCTCTTCCTTATGCTGTTTATTCTAGATACACATTCTCTTAGCTTTATTAGCAATGAGATGGGAGCTACCCCTCCCTTTAATTTTTTTCCTAAGTAATGAAAATATTGACTAGAATTCTTAGGTGACTTCAGCTCTTTGAGTTTTATCAACAATCTCTCATTTCTTTAGTGTTAGTATTCCTATGGACTGCTATACTACATATTTTAAAAATGTAGAGTAATTGTCACTATATAAATATCCACAACCCTCTTTTGCACTGGCATAATTATTTCCGTGCTCTGAACACATCATTTGGCTACTGATATCAGTTAGCAATCTCCAGTTACTCATCTTGTGATTGCAGTCTTGGAAGTCTGCCGATGAAAGCATTCTTTATTTCTCTGTGAATGTTTGCTCGAAGGTAGCCTCACTGGGTGTATCCCTGGTTAGTCAGTCTATATTTCCCCTCTTTGGAACTGTCCAAAGTTTCTTCTCTGTCCCCGTGGGTCATACACATGAACTGATTTCATGCCTTGGTGAACACATGGTTCGCTTCACCAAGAAGCTTCTCACAGGGCCACCAGGTCATTTCCTTGCCACACCTTTGCCTGTTGCTTGGAAGGACTGGAAAAAGACATTCACCTGGTGCTCTGCAAGGGCCTATTTGTATTTATATTTCCTCTGTGGTTATCATATTGCCTAAAACATCCAGTTTTAGAGAGATGCAACAGAATAAGAAAGCATAGTTATGTAAATGCTCTTCTCAGATGGAAAGTCAAGTAATTTTTAATACAGTGGACATCGTAGAGGACTATGCCACTTGTCCTTGATGTTTAGAGAACACCATGGTTTTGTTAGAGTAGAGGACAAGTACATAAAAGCCAGGAACTGGGCCATCCCCCGAGACAGCTGTGCAGTAGGCCCCGGCCTGCGGTGGGATGGGCAAGGCAGCTTTCTGACAGCTGTTTCTGGCCTTGACTTCGTGAAGGAGGAAGTGGCTCACCATGTGACTCCACAGGCCAGCACTGCCGACTGATGTGGGGCCACTGTTTATAATGAAGGCTGCCAGAGACCTGTACTGTCTCCAATATTATCGCACAGCCCAGCCCCCAACATGCAAATAACGATAATTCAAAAGTTGGCGGCTGCTTTCTCCTTTTGGGTGTGTTTTATGCTTGGCATGTGTATGCCCTCTTTTAAAACATCACTCGTCCATTTTATCAATAATCTGATATCTGCATACAGGAAATTGTCATTTAAAAAGTGTATGTCAGATTGAAGGTCTACTTGTCAGTTCACATGTCCTATAGCAACCATTCTCTATAGACTCCAAGGTTTTGCATTTTTCTCTTTTACTATTTTGGTCTGAGATTTGAGGGTAGGAAGCACAGTACTATTTGCTTCACTCTTCTGTGTATAATTCTGGTAGTGTTTTCTTACTCTAAACGAGAGCCCTAAGAACAAAGCATGCAACCCTTCAGTCA